TAGGAGAGTCCTTGGATCTGGGCTCCGGGGCGCTACTGGGTCTCAAGAATCCTGGGTCCAGGTCAAAGCCCCACTCCCGCCGCAGCTCCGCGGAGGAAAACAATGCGACCGCCCGGAGCTCTGGGCTCGGCCCCAGCCGCCCCGCCCGCCTCCTGCCGGATCCGCCTTCTGACCGCCCCCCGTTTGCCATGGCCAATCGCGTCCTTAGAAGCTTGCAAGGCCCCGCCTCCTCGCTGTCTCTCCGCCTATAGTGCTGCTCTCGGGCGGGGCGCCAGGAGCAGCGTCCACCCGGAGAGCCGGTCGGGAGGGTGAGCTGGAGACTAGAGACCCGCGTGAGATGGAGAGACCCGCGGACAGTCGCCGAAAGCAGGACGGAGGAAGACACGCGCAGAGAAGCAGAGACAGGCTGGCAGGGGGAGGTCCAAGGAACGAATGTCACAAGAGAGGACGCAAGAGAAGCTTAGAAAAAGAGAGACAGGAAACCTGGGGGCCCTCGCTGGGCTGGGCTGTCAGAGCCCGTGAGATCCCCCCACTTTCCTTCGATGGCTTTGGCGACCCTGTTCCCTAGGGAGCCTTCCGCCTCACTCCGAATCCACCCCAGCCCTGCGTTTCTTCTCCCTATGATTTTCACCTCTATCTCCTTTCTCCCCATGTGCCTCCTCTGGGTTCATGTTGACCCCAGTAAGGAGGCTGAATATAGCTACGGGCTTTAGGCCTGGGAAAGAGAAGGTTTTCCTTGACCCTGTCATAGCCCTGCCCTCCTCAACCGTCAGAGCAAGATGGGGTTGGGTCACCATGCCAGGGGCCGAGGAGCCAGGAAGCTAGGGTGGCTGGCAGTCAGGCTGTTGGCTGATGGAAGGTGACAGGTGAGGGGGCTGACGCCAAAAGACAACTGTGGAGACCAAGACGAATGTACTCAGACTCCACAGAAAGCGGGACAGAGAAAGACAGACCGTGAACAGCTGCCCTAAGCCTGTGCGCTCCAGGGGCCCAGGACCAGTGATGTCCCACCCTGCCTGAGGGTCCTGGACTCCTCCAGACCTCGAGGCTGCGCCTGCTCCCACCCGGCCCTTCTGAGAATGTCCGGAGGAGGAAGCAGGAGGCTACTGCAGACCCTGCTGCTTGGCTTCCACCTTGGTATTGCCTGCTAGGATTCTTCTCCGCGTGGGGCTGGGACAAAAGGCATTTTCAAAGTTCCCAGGAAAGTAGGTGGCCTGGGAGACACTGGCATTCCCAGACAGTGTTGGGGGGTGGGTGCTTCCACCCACATCTTGGTCTCTAGACTAGAGGAAAGGAGGGGAAGGGGTTTACCATTTCTGTACCAGCCTTAAGCAGACTGGGATCAGAGCAGGTAGCATCACCAGTTGGGCTAAGCCCTACTCACAGTGAGCAGCGAGCAAGGCGCACACATACACTCACGCTCCGAGAGACAGATACAGAGATTTAAGGCCAGGTGAATCAGTAAGATAAACAGAATCAGAAACCATAGAAATCTACACAAGATTAACCTCTAAAGTGTCTTGGGTCCAAGGAAATACAGTGGACTGCTGGATTAGCCAAGGATTGAAGATTGGGAAAGTTTTGGGAGAAAGACATTTATAGGCACGCTTGTAATTGCATAGCTTTGGGGAGGCTGAGGCAGGATTGTAAACTTGAGCCTACCCTGGGCAATTTAGCAACTTAGCTAAACCCTGTCTCCAAATAAAAATTTTAAAAGGGCTGGGGATATAGCTCAATGCAAAGACCCTGGGTTCAATCCCCAGTACTACAAAAAAAAAAAAAAAAAAAAAAAAAAGGAGAGAAGAGTAGCTCAGTGACAGAGTGCTTGCCTCACTTGTGACAAGACTCTGGGTTTGATCCTTAACAGTGCATGGGTTTGGAAAAGAAATGGATGAATCCTGGAGTTATTTCAAAAGACAAATCAAAACCAACTCTCTTCCTAGTCCCCTGGGGTTCTAAAGAAAATCACAGTCCCAGAGTCTCCATAAATGCAGGATCTCATCTCCAAATTGGGACAATCACTCTCTTCCTAGCCCCTTCTCATGGCTACTTCAAATGTCCTTTTTCTCAAGTTCCTTTCCCCCCACTTCTGTACTCATCTCCGCAGAATCTACACCCATCTTCAGAGAAATTAGAGCAACGAGGTGAGAATCCAACTCTGGCCCCCTGCAGACGAACTCAGCGGCATCTGGAATCTCTTGTCCTGGTAGATGAGGCAGGCATTAAAACCTCCTGTCCTGTATGCTTGTACACCCCCTGCTGTGTGCCTGTCCTGCTTGCCTGTGTCCTTTCCATTCAACACAGTGCCTGCCCACAGTAGGTGTTACCTGTTAACACCTTAGCTGAGTAAATCTGTACGCTGAGCTTGGCATGGCGGCACATGTCTCTAATCCTAGCACTTGGGAGGCTGAGGCAGGAGGATTGAGAGAGTTCAAGGCCAATTTGGGTTACATAGCAAGTTCTAGGCCAGCATGGATTATAGTGAGACCCTGTTAAAAAAAACTAAAAAGGGCTATAGATGTAGGTCAGTCAGTATGAAGGCCTTGGTTTCGATCCTCAGTATTGAAGACAACTGTTTTTCCTAATGTCTGAATTTCACAACTTCAAATCCTTTTTTCTTTTCTTTTTTTTTTTCTTTTTTTTTTTTGGTTTTTTGAGACAGGGTCTCACTATGTAGTTGAGACTGACCTGGATCTCACTGTATAGCCCAGGCTGGTCTCCAACTCAGGGATCCTCCTGCCTCAGCCTCACAAGTGCTGGGATTACTGGTGTGCGCCACCACACCCAGCTAAATCCTGTATTTTTTTAACCTTTTATTTTCTGCTGACCTCTTCCCCTCAACACATATGCGTGTTTATTTCTCAGG